CAATAAAACTTAAAATTAGCAGCAACTGAAGCACTGCAATAGGTTCTTCCTACCTATAGAAATTACTCGCAAAAGAAATCTGGTTCCATTTTAAAACTTAGATCCAGTGACTGAGAGAAAGGAAAAGTACAAAACATGATTCTTCCCTGGGTCATCCTCTAAGAATGTTATAGATTAAAAGAAGACATGAGAACTTGTTGTACACATCAGTTCTAATCAAACTTCATAGTAGGTTGTCGAAAACCTCATTTACGGGTTTATGCTTTCTCGTTAGTGTTAGTGTACAGTTATGTGTATTGCGAAAATTCATTCGGATTGTATCGATAAATTATGAGCAAATTAACGTGTTTCAGTTTGCTATTGCTCCTTTAATAATACGAACATGTGCGCTTTGGTACATTGGAGACAATACAATATGCCAACTTTTACCGACTTTTCCCCACTGGCTCCTTTATTGAACATTAGCCATTTAAGAGGAAAAAAACCGAAAGAGAAAATTATAAGGAAAATAGTAAAGTGAAGTGACATAGATGTAAATTTTACAGAAAAAAGAGGTCTACCCGTCTTTTTCACTTCCTGTGAGGCAATAGGATGTAGGATTTTCATTAGTGAACTCACCAACTTCTAAGATCCCTACCTTGTTTCTGGATTTTCCTTTTGAAACCCTCAAAATCTTGGCTGTTTTGCTCTGTAGGCTCAATCTTAGGAAAATGTAATGAAATTCCGATTGCGCTGTTACTTCTGTTCACCAAAAACACTATGGCGGTCAAATATGAAATGTCGTTTCTGCGCCGACAGTTTTGTAAACTTGATTTGCTCAAAGACATATAACGCCTCCGGGTTAATTTTGTCGAAAAGCTGCAAGCTTATCGGAGCGGAAAAAAATGACCTGCAATCTAGAGCTTTATCTCTGAGAAGAAGTTCGACATGCGTGAAAAAATGAGAGGTGAATGGCAAAAAAATGTTTATGACGGGTAAGGTAGAACTTCAGTTCAATTTTCTTGAACAGGAAGTGGAGAACTGCGAACGCGCAAAGTTGCGGGACGGGCAATTCCTTCTCCAATCTTGGTTTTGTTTCAGATTATCTTGAGCGCATTCATTCAACATCGTAATCATTGTTCATATCACTATTTGCTTAAGGAGTTTCATATGTAATAAACCAATGACTTGTTTACTTTTGATTGTCGCAATGTACTTACCGTGCTTTGATTCCATGTAGAGGGAAGCACAAGATGTCTTGTCAAGCCAACTTCCGTTCGTTCTCACATTTAAACGTCTCCTTTCACTTTCTTCTTGCCACTTTAAGTTGATGAAGCTGGTGGACAGCCGTCTTATAACAAACATAAAATAGCAGGCACACGATCTTGGATCCGCTTTTGTCAG